GCTCCAGAATGTTATAGTTAAAAGATTCAAATATTATAATTTTGAAAATCTTAAAGGTTCAGATATATTAAATTTGTAGAGTATTAAAAATATTAAAAATGGTTTTTTGAAAACATATATGTAATTTTACAGCGGGCCAGAACATGTCACATACCCAATCTTCTTATTATTAAATGAGAAGTACACAGTTAACATCTTAAAAATTAGTCTAAAATTTCCAAAATTGCCACTTAATTATTTGCAAAGGAAAACATTTATTCAAATAGGGAAGGGTAATTTACGAAATATTAAAGCAATTTTTGCATAAAGTTCTGTCACTTTCAGATAGAATGCCCTAAAAAAAAAAATGGTTCGAAAAGGAAAGTAATCTTATGGGTTCAATAAGGTTTTTTGAATCAAATCTTACTCATATTTCTTCTAATTAATCTTGGTGGATAGATAGTGGTGCTAATGTACATGTATCAAATTACTTACAGGGATTCCTTACGATCCAAAATATAAATCCAAGTGAAAACTACTTATGTATGGAAAATCGAGACAAGGTGCCAGTTGAAGCTATTAGCACTTGTCGTCTCATTATGGATAGTGGATTTTGTTTAGATTTATTCCAAACTCTTTATGTTCCATCTATTTCCCGTAGTTTAGTTTTATTAAATAAACTTGATTTAGCTGATTTTGAAGTCGAGTCAAGGAGATGGTTGTTTCAATTTATTTTGGAACTTTATATGTATTGGTTCTGGAATATTAGTTGATAGCCTATATAAGTTAATTTTGGCTGATCAACCTTATGGAAACACATCTTACCCTGCAAGATAAAAGTAGGATTAAGAGTCAAACACGTATAAAAGAATCGTATGAATTGTGGCATAAAAGACTGGGACACATTTCCAGTGAAAGAATTAAGAGATTGGTAAAAGAGGAAGTAATTCCGAATCTTGACTTTACCAATATGTAAAAAGTGTGTAGATTGCATCAAGGGTAAGCAAACTAAGCACACTAAGAAATGAGACACAAGGAGTACACAGATTCTTGAGATCATAAATACAGATATTTGTGGACCTTTTGACGTTCCATCTTTTGGAGGTGAAAAGTACTACATTACTTTTATCGATGATTTTTCACGTTATTGTTATCTCTATCTATTGCATGAAAAGTCTCAGCCTATGGATGTTGTACAAGCATTCATAACAGAAGTTGAGAGGCAATTAGATAGAAAAGTGAAAATTATAAGGTCTGATAGAGGTGGTGAATTTTATGGCAGATATGATGAAACAAGACAAAATCCTGGACCATTTGCCATACTTCTCCAAAAATTAGGAATCGTTGCGCAGTACAAAACGCTTGGTTCTCCATGGCAAAATGGTGTAGCTAAAAAGCGTAATCGTACTTATATAAGAATTGTTAGATCCATGATGAGTTGTACTAACCTACATGTATCCTTGTGGATGGACACATTACGTAATGCGATCTTGAATAGGGTTCCCAACAAAATAGTTCCAAAGACTTCTTTTGAAATGTGGAAAGGCTTGAAATCTAGTCTGTCACACCTCCAAGTTTGGGGGTGTCCAGCTGAAAAGAATTTAGATTTCAGAATGGTAAGTGATTTCTTTATTGGTTATATTGAGAAATCTAAAGGATATCGATACGAGAATAGTATAAACCAGTAATGCTTGATTCTTTGAGACTGGCGAGATTAGTGGGAGTGATAATGTAACCCCGTGTCTGAAATTTTGGTGGTGTCGACCGACACCAGTGTTGGTAGTCGATCGACACCAACAAAATTGGGTTAGGCTTTCTTTCTCACTTTTGGCTTTTGTCGCTTCTTGAAAACAAAAGAGAGAAAGAGGGTTGTGAGTTGGTTGATCCTAAAGCTTAAGGAGAGGCTTGTGAAGGTTTCTGGAGTCTGCTCTTCAGTGTTCTAGCAAGGGATCAGTGGGATTCGTGGCTGTGGGTGTGAAGAGAGGTTGTTGGAGTGTTCTTCTTCTCTGTTTCGTCCATCCTTCCAATCTAACTCAAAGGTGAGTGCGTGACTATGGCTTATCTAAGCGTTAAGATTGCGTGATTTGTGTTTATGTGATGAGTGATTTGAATCCTTTGTGTTTATGATGTTTTCTGGTGTATGTGTGGCCTTGTGTGACTGTTATTGGTTGTGTCGTCGTGGGAGGTGATGGGATGGGTGTCGACCGATACCAGGCGGCTGTCGATCGATACCATTCGGTTGATCACAGTGCAGTTTGGTGGTGTCGACCGATACCAGTTTATAGTGTCGCCCGACACTAGATTTTGGTAGTGTCGACCGACACCAGTGTGATGGTGTCGACCGACACCAGTTTTCTGTGAGCATATTTTTGTATTTTTGATTGACTGTTTTGGATGTTTGTGACATTGTTGATGTATGGATGTGATCTTTAAGTGCTTGTGTGTATAGCCCAGTGGATGGGAGGATCGCTTCACTAAGTATTTGTGATAATACTCACGCATCTCATTGTGTTTGTGGTGCAGGTAAAGTGTGACGTGGAATCATGCCAATGAGGAGGAGGATGATCTAGGGTCTCGGTTGTTATGTTTATGAATATATTTAATTTTTTTTTAGAACCTGATTTAGAGGCATGCTGGGATACTGGTGTTAATTGTGGTTATTGAATGATTAGTTAATTAATACTATGATTAATTAGGTTGGTTTAATATGTTTCCACAGTGCATGATGGTTTGTTGTTGGGTTAATTCGGTTAAATTAATTAGTAGGTATATGACTATAAATTAATGAAGTCTTTTCAAATAAAGTCCATGATGTGACTATTCGGGAAATTAGGATTGATATCCCATCACCCAAAAATGGGGATCCTAACATTGTTGAACCGTTAAAAATGAGGAAAGCCCATTAAATGATCACACACTCCATGATGAAACATTAAAATCTGGTTTCTTATTCACAAGCCATGAAAGATGTTAATTATGATAAATGGATTGATGCTAGTAAAGAATAAATAGATTCAATGGTTAAGAATGATTTCTGGGACATTGTTTTATTGTCTGAAGGACACAAAGCAGTCGGGTGTAATTAGATCTTTAAGACCAAACTTGACTACAATGGCAAATTTTGAACGATATAAATGCAGACTTGTAGCCAAAGGGTTTAATCCAAAAGAAGGCATCGATTATAGTGAAACTTTTTCACCTGTGCCTAGAAAAGATTCACTCAGAATTATCATGGCATTAGTAGCTCATTATGATCTCGAGTTACATCAAATGGATGTGAAAACTGTTTTTATCAATGGAGACTTGCAAGAAGAAATCTATATGCGTCAACCTGAAGGCTTCATAATCAAAGATAAGACATGGTCTGCAAATTAAAGAAATCAATATATGGACTGAAACAAGTTTCGAGGCAATTGTATCTAAAGTTTGATGAAACCATTACGAAATTCGGTTTCAAAGTAAACATACTAGACCTAATATAAGCCATGTAGTGGCAATGTTAGGAAGATTTCAGAGTAACCCAGAAATCGCGCAATGGCAAGTTGCAAAGAAAGTTTTGACATAACTTAAGGGAACAAGAGATTTCGTGCTGACATATAGAAAATCAACACATTCACAGATGGTTGGATTTTCAGATTCAGATTTTTGTGGATGTCGTGGTTATGCGTATATCTTTTGTGCAGGTGCCATATCATGGAAAAGCCAAAAGTCGTAGTTGATCTACACATCCACCATGTTATAAGGCTTCTATTCAGCTGGTGGCATAATTTTGTGTCTGAGATTGGAGGGTTTGAGCTTTATTGACAAACCTCTAACTCTTTACTGTGACAATGGAGCCGCAATCTTCTTCTCGAAACATGATAGGATATCTAAAGGCGCCAATCATATGGACCTTAAATATCTAAAACTTAAGCAAGATGTTAAAAGACAAAATTTTGTCATTAAACATATAAGCACTAAACTTATGGTCGTAAATTTATTTACGAAAGCATTACCCCCGAAGACCTTCATAAAGCATGCTGAAAGTATGGGTCTTGAGGATAGCTTTCATTAAGTTGTCTGATTATGTAGAGCCAATATTTGACAATATTTTGTGCTCGTTATGACTTTTACATCTTTATATTCATTCTTTTTCCGATGTGTACACGTTATTGTTTTGGAATAATGAGGACATAATTTGTCTTTGATAAAAGACATAAAAGGGACCATTATGACAACTCCTACTTATGGTGTAACTATTAAAGAAGTCAATGTAGTAGTACATGGAAGGGATCATGTTGCAAAATGATGTGTGACCGCCATGACTCTCATTGATTATTGGATTAGCTAAGACACTTATGATGACCAAATAAAAGATTAGGGAATAACAAATTATGCCAGCCTTATGATTTCTAACTAGAAAAACATAATAGATTAAACTAACGACCAAGTGGGGGAATGTAAGAAATATTATATTTCTCTATTATGTGGTCGTATAATCGTTGATTTTGTATCAGAATTGTTATTCTGATATATAGTTGGTAACCTAAAGGAGTTTTCCGCTTGTGAACAAGTGGCGAAAAAAGCAAAGGATTGCACGGAAAATGTAACGTATAGGCGAACTAGAAGTGTCGTAGAATGGGGACAAGTGTCGCGCAATCGCAAGAAATATCGAATAATGGAGACAAATGTCGGAGAGTCACGACAAGTATCGCGTAACGGAGACACGTATCACAGAAAGTGACATGTGTCATGAAATTGCGACATGTGTCGCATATGCGACGAAAAGTTTCATGGAAAGTGACAGGTGTCATGACGGCACAACACATGTCATGCGAACACATGCATGCGTGAAAAGTGTCACGATTACATACATGTGTCGATCTCCGGCATTTCCACTTGTTACACATGCCTCCGTCTTTTTCTTGATAGACGGTCGAGATTAATCCGGAGGAAACCTTAAAAGCAGAGCTTGGTCCTCTCTCCACCTTTAAATACAAACCTTTAGTCCATCATAAAAGCTATTCAGAAAAACTGCAACACTTAAAGAAAACGTTTGTAGGCAAGGGGAGAGAAACCATGACTCCGAACTTAAGATCAAGCTTTTTGGTCTTCCATCAAGAAAACAGATCAGGATGACTAATCCGCTGCGATGATAGAAGGTACCCCGATAACCTTTCTAATGTCTTTATTATGTGATTAATTCAGCTGTTTAAAGATATTGGGGTCTATGTAAGTGAATGTAAGTTTCACTTACAAGTGATTATTCACTTACAAGTGATTATTCACTTACAAAGTTCAGATTAAGATTGGAAAAGGTAATTGGGGAAACAATGATAAATGTGGAGATGTTGATACATCTTACATTTGCAGAGTTCTTCTAAAAAAAAGAACTATGTTAAAATTATATCAATAAACAGCCATGGGCCGGAAGCCCAAATAAATTTAACAAATTTTTCAAAAAGATGTTATGGTTTTCTTTTTAAAAGGCCAGCCCAAAGGGTAACAAGTAGTGTTTTGCTTGATAGACCAATGTCAATTAAGGATTTAATCTTTTTTTTTTGGTAGTTGACAAGGAGGCAATGCCTCCTTGTTATTTATTCAAAACTAAAAAAATTACAACCGGATTTGCCTTGGAAACGAAGTTCCTTGGACATCCTCTCTTATTATGGACTCCACAAAAACTGGAGCCTCATCAAAAATATGCAAACCTAACGGTCTTGTAAAAGCCAAGTTTGCTAAGCCGTCAGCAAGACGGTTAGCTTCTCGATAAGTATGCGACACACGGACTATCCAGTCCCTAGAAATAAAGCCATGGCACCTTCGCACCAGGGAAGACAAGGGATGTGAATCACTAACCCCCGTCTTTAGAAAACCAACTACAATCTTTGAGTCCACGTCCAGTTGTACCCGAGTAACTCTCTTGCCCCAAGCAACATATAGTCCATAGTAAACTCCCCAAAGTTCAGCCATAGGTGCTGAACAGAACCCTATATTTGCTGCAAAACCACAACACCATTTACCACTCGAGTCTCTTAACACCCCACCCGCCGTAGCCAAACCCGGGTTGCCGTGAGAAGCCCCATCGGTATTCAGCTTAAACCAGCCCTCAGGTGGTGGTTTCCACTGGACCATTCTCGTCTCTCTCTCGCCCGCAGTACTACCTATTTCACACGATCACGGCATTTACTCATTTCCCCCAAACACGTAACTACACCGCCACTTCCATGCCCGCCAAGAGCACATTGCAAAAATTGTAACCCATGGGCAAACAGACCCCTCATCATTCGACCGTAGATTATCGAAAACCCACTCTAGTAGCGAAACTTTAAAAAACCAGTGGAGCTTATTTGTTGGAATTATACGCCGCCAAAGACCCTCAATGGCCGGACAATCTCGTAGAACATGAAGAATTGTCTCCTCCCCACCCTTACAAACCGGGCAGATACCATTGCCACTAAGGTGTCTCCGAAACCTTTCTGCATTCGTCATAAGCGCTTGCTGAGACACTAGCCAAAAAAAAGTCCGAACCCTTTCCGGAGCACAAAGTTTCCAAACATAGTTAAAAAAACTCTGCATATTGGGCCTCAGAGTATGATCCGTGGTTAACAACGAGTATGCAGACCGTACCGTAAACCGTCCATCAGAGTTTCCTCCCCATGATAATCGGTCACGTGACCCAGCTAGACTATCCACCACCACCGCCGCAAGTTCTAATCGTGTGTTTGGTGGAACAAAAGACATGATATTCTGCAGTGTCCATCCCGTACTATTGTCCCAAAGGTCCTTAACTCGCAGTTCTTGATATCCTACCGGAAGAGGTGCAATAACACGTCCAACAAGAGGATCTTTAGAAAGCCATTTATCTTGTTTTAGTAATAAAGATTTTTAAAAACAATAAAAGGGTACGGTTAACACAATAGAATAAACATAGATTGTGTGAATTTACACCCTACTAGAGACATATTTATGGGACAATTAACAAATATAAACAAAAAAATCATGTAAATTAGTTACCAAGAATTATAAATACGAACACATATACAAGTGAAAGTATTTGAAGCCAATAATTCCTTCTTACAAGAATGAATACTATTTAACGCCATTTAAAAAAACAAAACTAAAACAATCCCTAACTACTTTTTACATGACACATTTAACCAAAAACAATTTATGCACAAAACTACAACACCATCATTTTTAACCGGATATTCATTTTTTAACAAAAATCCGATATGAATACGGATATCGGCGGGTAACTAATATTAGTCTTATGAATAATAATATAAACTATGTGCAAAATATAAAAAAAGTTGAATTAAATTTCTCACATATGAGAAAACAACATATGGTAAATTTATATGGGTGATTTACACAATAAGGCACTTTATGTTTATGGTATGGCAAAAAACACACAATATAAGCAGACCAAAAAAACCTCAGCTTTCTGTCCACAAAAAGGACCATTGTGCCCCAATAAAGTTAACTGATGGATACGTGATTTTTAGTTAGTTTAGTTTGTTGTAACCATTGATGGTTGGATCTCGTTACATATTACAAAAGCAAAAATATGAGTTTTTAAAATTGTTTTATTCGAGAAACAGCTTTTGTAGGCTTTGGTTCTTGTATATCAAAAGGCGAAAATATGGGTTACTAAAAGGAGCCAAGTTCTTGGTTGTGCACAGAGGTTTTGAATCAAGCGCATAGCACAAAGGATTATGTCCTCTGGAACAGAGGTGAATTTTGTAAAAGTTATAAACGGGATCTTGTAAAAGACCGATTCTAAAAGGTTTAAAAAATTTTCCAGGATACAACGGATGATTTCACGATAGGACATGCGGTAGATGGCGTTGTGGAGAAGAGGGAAATTGGAAATTTGTAGTAGACAACAAGAAGGTATCAAAAGTGGTTCTAATCGAACGAGGAATGGATCTAGAGTAGTATAAGGCTGCAGTTAGAAGATAATTTAAGGTGACGATGGAGGCGGTATGTCTAAGTTATTTACCGGCAGGTTGCGTACTAATGGAAGTTCGAGCTTTTGAGTTAGTGTTTTTGAGTTTTTTTTCGTTCTTACAGATATGTATCGGTAGTGATAATGCTCTTTGTGATCATGTGGATGAGGTTTTCTGGATACCAATGATGTATTCTGTCCAAATAATGTTTCCAATCAATCTTAAGGCTCTCATGTTCTCTTGTATAAACGATTATTATCCATATGTCGACATTTACAAAGACACACTCATTTATACTAAACTTTATAATAAGTGACCACATGTTCTATAGATGTCCACCAAATCCACGAAACTAATGTTAACAACCCAAAACAATGTTTAGATGTCCACCAAACGCAGAACATTATCAAGGGTCCATTTATGTATAAAGCTGTGTCATTTGGGAAGGAAAGATGTCCATTGAGAATAGTACATTATCTATAGTCCATTAGAGTCAAATATGCATGATTCGTTAGGTTGAGTCCAATAATCTGATATCCATTATTAAACATGTCAAATTTAGTAGAAGTGAACAAAAACACGAAGTGAACAAAAACGGTTAGGAGAACATATATGGGAATAAATACGAAGTGAACAAACACAAGAACCAATAATTTCAAAGGTGATTTCAAGGATAGATCTGAGTGTACACTACCATATGGACATGTACTCTTCATCCAACGATTTAAAATCGTACGAATTCGAAAATTCTTTATTCGTTTGGTATATAGATTTTTAAAAAGTTTGACAAATTCAGTTTCAGAAAAATTGGTTGGTATTTAGTAAAAAAAGTAAAACTAAATAAAATCTGAAAATAATTTTATGTTCGTATATAGATTTTTAAAAAGTTTAATTCTGTGTGTATCGTGAAAACGATATATCAACACTAAATAAAGGAACATGTACATACAAAATGACGTGAGGAGGGAAGTACAACAGATAGAAAGGGGGTATGCCATGAAATATCCCACCTACAAGAGAAAAAACGAAAAAGAAAAAAATAATAATGAAATATTTAGGAAATTTTATGTAAAATCCCATTTTCAAAACTCAAACTTTTAAAACTGCCATTTTCGACTTTGTATTTTGTAAAATGCCATATTCATTTTTATTATAAAAAAGACAAAAATACCCTCAAAGAAAGTTGACAAAAAATCTGACATAAAACAATTATGTACATTAATTAATAGACAAGTTTTTTGTGTGCCTATACTCTTTTGCTTTTACTATATACAGTAAAACCTCTATAAATTAATAATGCTGGGACCTTGAGATTTTATTAATTTATAGTGATATTAATTTATCCTATAAATTAATAGTTATTAATTTATAGAAATATTTATGCTAAATACAATATTATTCACCCAAATAAGTACTAAAACATTCTCTAACATAAATTTGGAAATTTTCTCTTACAATTATGTACTTTTTAGAATTTTGCAGAATTTATAATTCCTTATACTTTGATATAAACATATTCAATTATGTTAAATTTTCATTTTTCTTTTGAACTGTGTCTTTATTTATACAACATGTACGTGACCTTCTCATCTATCTCCACTAGCTACTTTTTTTATTACACAAATTCTTAGCAATGGCTTCTCATCTAAAAGGTGTTGCAAAATCAACTATGACAGATCAAATACGCAAAGAGTTATGTGAGTACAAAAGAGATAATACCAATTGTACTCAAAAAGAGTTGCAATTGTGGCTTCAAGAAAAATTCCATCTCCAAGTTAGTCAAGGTACAATCTCAAACACACTCAAACGATCAGCTGAATATCTTTCTACCAATCTGGAATCCAGAAAAGATATCAAACGACACAAACCAGCAAAATATCCAGAGATGGAGAAAGTTATTTTTTAGTGGTTTCTTCAATACCAGGACCGTGTGAATATGACCGGAGAACTAATTTTGGAGAAGGCTAAAGAAACAATGAAACTTGTATACCCTAAACAAGATTCAGAGTACCAATTTTCTCAAGGTTGGCTTGAAAAATTCAAATTACGACATGGTATCAAGTCGTTTTGTCGGTTTGGAGAAAGCGGTTCAGTTAATGTTGGAGACATGGAAAAGAAGCTGGAAGCTATAAGAGAAAAGATAGATAAGTTTTCTATGAAAGATGTTTTTAATATGGATGAGACTGGTTTGTTTTATAGGTTACAAGCTGATCATTCTCTTGCTACAAAACAAGTTGAAGGCAAAAAACAAGACAAAGAAAGGTTAACGGTTGTTATTTGCTGTAACAAGGATGGGTCTGAAAAAATTCCCTTATGGATTATTGGAAAATATGCAAAGCCACGCTGCTTCAAGAATGTCAACATGAATAGCTTGAATTGTCATTATCCTGCCAACAAAAGAGCTTGGATGACTAGTGTTATTTTTGAAGAGTATATCTGTTGCTTTGATCAGAGAATGCATGGTAGAATAGTTTTGTTTGTGATAGATAATTGCCCAGAACATCCAAGAAATATTGAAGGATTACATAATGTTGAGCTTTTTTTCTTGCCTCCAAACATGACCTCAAAAATTCAACCTTGTGATGCTGGAATAATAAGGGCTTTTAAAATGCATTATCGAAGAAGATTTTACCGTGAGGTTTTAGAAGGTTATGAGTTGGAACAACCTGATCCAGCTAAGATCAATGTTTTGGATGCTATCAACTTTTCAGTCTCTGCTTGGACAGTTAATGTTAGTCGAGAGACAATAGCAAATTGTTTTCGACATTGTAAAATCCGTTCGAGGGATGTCATATCACAGAATTTAGAAGAGGAATCAGTTAGTGAAGATGGTATTCGTGAACTTGACGTGGTGATTAGTAATCTTGGTTATCGAAATAGAATGGATGTCAATAGCCTACTTGACTATCCAGGTGAAAATGATGCTTGCTCAGAAATTCATAGCTTAGAAGAGATTGTGGCTTCTGTCCTTAATGCTGATGAAGAGGTTGAAGACGATAATGTGGAACCTTTGGAACTAGTTACACGTAAAGAAGAAATTATTGCGTCTAGAACTCTTCACAGCTTTTGGATGCAAATCGAGAAGACAACACTAGGAGTTTTTGATGCAATAAGGAAAATTAGAGATGAACTCCAACGAGATTCCAACTTTAAGAAAAGACAAACAACACTAGATTCATATTTAACTAAATTATCTTAGTATGTATGCTTAAGATTTATGATTATTAATTTATGATATTATTGGGACTATATTTTACATAGAAACTTCAAAAAAATTATTATCTTATTATCTTATCGATTGTTGTTAATTTTTACACTGGCCCGACTTGGGACCAGCGAAAATTATTAATTATTAATTTATAGAAGTTTTACTGTACGTATAATGGACAACAAATTAAGAAACAAAAAATGGACATATTATAGACATCAGATCTAGTCCACTTGATCCAGTCCATCTACGCACAAATGTATGATCCAAGTGTATACTTAGATGAATCATTGATGATGTATTCCATAGATGCATCATTTGTTTTATCGTTTGCTCAATTTCTTGTTGTTTCAAGAGATCTGTAGGATGGACAAGTTTGGTCTACCGATTCTGGTCCACCAGATCTGATTCATCAGAACTGGTTATAGTCCGCTGTAACTTCTTCGCCTGATCTGATCTATTGAAACTAGTTATGGTCTGCTGAAACTGATTTGCCGGATTTGGTACTCGAGAATTGGTCCGTTGAAACAGGTCTGTCATATCTCGTCTGTAAGATCTGGTCCGCTGAGATTGGTTATATTCCGCTGGAACTGGTTCACCGGAACTGGTTTGCCGGAACTAGTCGGCCGGAATTGTAGAGAGATTTGTTTGTTGTTGAAGAAAGAAAGAAAAGATGAAAGAAGAAGAGAAAGAAAGAAAGAGATGAGAAAAAAATGAAAGAAATAGAGAAAGTTGAGTGAAGATAAAATTGACATTTTAATGAGTTAAAAGTGGATCATGTGGCATTTTTAAAAAGATTGGATAGAAAGTGGCATTTCTTAAAAGAAATGACACTGTTCATAGTAGAGAATACAATTTTCTAACTGTTTAGTTAGAAAGGAGGGAGTGGCAAAATGGTTATTACAAAAACAAAGCAAGGCCATGAAGGACCTATATTTTCACAATAGTTGTGAAGGTTTTGGAAATGTATTTTTATGTTATAACTTTTGAGAAAGTGTCTTTTCCTTGAAATATCCCAATTTATATTTGTAATAATGTTGGTTTTTTCTGCATTTGAGATTTTCTTTTGGAGAGACAAAAAAAAACAAAAAAAGAAACTCAGCTACAATAATGTTTTCTTTTAAAGAGACACAACCTAAACCTCAGCTACAATAATGTTTTCACCAAAAGAAAACCTAGTTCCTTTTTCTCTCTCGGCGCTCAGCCGCCAAGAAAAAAAAAATTCCAGATAGAGGCTGGATTGCGATGGCTTCCTCACCAATTGGTTTATGGTGAATACGCTTCTATCATGTCCCTCTGGTTGTTTTAACTCGGTTTTGTTCAAGAAATCCTTCTGTTTTCAAGTGTGGGCTGCGACAGTTGCAGAGTTGTTGTCTACTAGCTTTATTCTTCCCCTACGGTCTGGGATATGGAACAGGCAGTGTCTTTCCGGGTTTAGAATTTTAACTATTGATAATTGGTTCTCGCTGTTTAAGATAGAAGTTTGGGTCCTCCTTTTGTTGTTAACTGTTTGCTCGTCGTGGTGACTGCTATCTCGTCAAGTGCTCTGATTTTTAGAGGATTCTTTAGATTCATTCTGGTTCGAGCTTATACCGTTCTTGTGTTTTCAAGTTTGGTGTTACCCGGTTTGGATTGTTCGCTCCTTGTCTCTGCATTTCAGATTTGTTTGAGATATGGTCATATGGTTTTGCTTCTATTTAGGTGCGAATTGTCGTCTTGTTTTCGACGTCGTCGTATCCATAAGAGAGTGTGAGGAACTTCGTGTGGTTCTATCTTGCTGGGTTATGAAGAATTTCATAGGAATTATGTTACTTTTAGGCAGTTTGGCTTATTAATAGGAGATTTGGATTATTGATGGTTGGCCGAGGGGATCTTCAATATGTGCTAGTGAAGATTCCTCTTCAATTAGAGTTCCTTGATGGGTTTAGTTTGGTTCCTTTGTGTAGAGCTTTTCAGTTTGGTTTGTCTTGTTTGTGGGATTCCTCTTTTATATTTGTATACTTTTAGCCCTTTAGACCTCAAAAGAATGAGGGACAGATTAAAAGCAGATTATACATAGCACATGAGAACTGCTTTTTCTCCATTCACAGTTAATGATTTTTTTTCGGGAAAAACAAAAAACAATTGCAGATGAACTGCTAGCAGATCAAATATACAAAAGAAAAACTATGTTCTGCATGTAATAGTGAAACACTTCATTTTTGATGCATATCAAATCTGAACTGCTTTTCTATTCAATATTTAATTTAAATACTGCTGTAATAGTAAAATCCATAAATATTTTAATATATCACTTTAAAAATTATTTGTTAAAACTTTTAATAAAATAACTTAAGTTCATAAAATCAATATAATATTTGAATCACAAAATTATTATAATAAAGTTATTCTAAGTTTTCTTATAATTATTAGTTTAAATATTTTTTTGCTCTATTATTCAAAGTTTTCTAATAAATATTTCTTTAAAGATTTTTATTTATTTATCATAGTTTATTAATTTAAAGCACCATAAAAGTTTTATTTATTAATTTTATTTTCATGATTAGTGTACACCACATATGTTGTAACATAATGTTATTATATGATATAAATATTTTGATTTTATAAATTACATGTTTAAAAATTTACAATATGAAATTTAAATTAAAGTAATTTCAGTTCATCATTATTATGATTTTCAAATATTAAAAAATCTATACAGTCAATTTTTTTTAATAATTGATATATATATATATATATATATATATATATATATATATGATTTGTTTTCTCTATTCAACATATATTTTTTTAGTGTTCGGACTATTAGATCTGCATTTGTTCTGTCAAATCTGCTTGATCTGCTTTTGTTCTGCTTGATCTGCTTGAACCGCTTGATATGCATTTCTTGATACGCTTTCTCCATTCAAAGCCTTAGTTTCAACTCTTTGTTTCCCTTTTTGGGCATTAAACTCCCTCTTTTGAGTATTAGACTCCGGGAAAATCTTGTTTTCCGCCAGTATTCCATGAAGTATTTCACTAATAAAATTTCTACAAAAAAAAACCTCAGCTACAATAGTCCATGCTTTTTCTTAACGAAAAAAAGTTGAAAAAAAAAAAGAAAAAAACAATTTTTAGAGAGATAAAACGGCGTCGTTTGTAACATAAACTACAAAGACTGATTTGTTTTCTCTCTCACTTCAAACGACGCCGTAACTAATCAGAGTAAAACCGGCAACTATCAAACCGGTGATACACGGCGGAGATGGAGGTACTCGCGGCGGAGGATATCGACATCGGTACAGATATAATCCCACCACTCTCTCCTCTCGCTTCCTCTCTCTACGACTCCTTCCTCTCCACTCACTGCTCTTCCTGTTTCTCCCTTCTCCCCCAATCTCCGCCGCACCCTCTCTACTGCTCCGCCGCATGCTCACTCACCAATTCTCTCATCGATCTCCCACAATTCCCGCCGGAGATATCCCCAATTCTCCCCTCCGACATCCGTACAGCTCTCCGTCTCCTCAATTCCACCACCGTCGTCACTTCCTCGTCACCGCACCGTATTAATGGCTTACTCACAAATCACCACCGTATCATGGCTGATTCTTCCCTCTCCGTCGCTATACAAACCGCCGCTAGTTTCATATCCACCGTTCTTAGGTCTAACCGAGAAAACACAGAGTTGGAAGAAGCAGTGATATGCTCTGTGCTAACAAACGCCGTTGAGGTGCAAGATAGCGCCGGACTTGCTCTTGGAATTGCTCTTTATGATTCAAGATTCTCTTGGATTAACCATAGCTGCTCTCCAAACTCTTGTTACCGTTTCGTCACCAAGACGACGTCGTTTCATGATGATCTTGCTTTAGCTAAAACCATTCCTCATATCATCATCACCAACACTGAAACATCATCCAACTTAGAATCCAAGGCTTTGAGCTCATTACAAGAACAAGTTGGTACTAGTCTCATGTAATGTGAAGTGTCTTTGGTTGTATCTACATTGTGAATGTTTAGTTTTTGCAGGGAAGAAGAGTTGGATATGGACCTAAGGTGATTGTTAGGAGTATTAAGAGGATTAAGAGTGGTGAAGAGATCACTGTATCGTATATGAACTTACTTCAACCCACGGTTTGTTTTGTTCTTTAGAGTTATCATCACTCTCTAGATTGGTGTTAGATTGTTTATCTGCCTAAAAGTGTATTCCTTTCTTTATCATTAGGGATTGAGGCAGTCGGATTTGTGGTCGAAATATCGGTTTATGTGTAACTGTGGACGATGTGTGGCATCACCTCCGGCTTATGTGGACTCTATTCTAGAGGTATTGATCAGACACATATTGGAAAAAATAAACTCTTTTGACAAAGTATCTCTATGGTCTTCATGTTGCTTGACTGAGTTTGAGTTTAACAGTTCAAGTAATTGGAACTTAGTTTAGTATAGGATCTTAAGATAGCTAATGTATGTACAATGCATTCATCTAGGGGGTACTTGCGTTGGAGCCTGAGAAAACAACTGTTAGACTCTTTCATGGAACCACCAACAAAGATGAAGCAGTGGGAAAGATGTCTGATCATATTCAAGGAGCCATTGATGATTTTCTATCAGACAACATTAATCGCAAAACATGTTGTGAAAGGATTGAAACTGTGCTGCATCACGGCATCCAAATCACAGCAGATTCACAGCCTCGTCATCTGTGGTTACATCCGTGTCACCATGTTGCTCTGGATGCTTACATTACTCTGGCTACTGCCTACAAAATCCGTACCATTGATTCTGAAACTGACATGGGGAAGGCTTTTGACATGAGGAGGATAAGTGCAGCCTACTCTTTCTTCCTTGCTTGTGCTTCTCACCATCTCTTCTCAACAGAACCTTCTTTCGCTATGTCTGCCGCAAGTTTCTGGAAAAATGCTGGAGAATCGTTGTTAGATCTGGCCATGAAGTTTTCGACAGACTCATCCGTAGAAACTCCATACAAATGCACCAAATGTCTTATGCTTGAAACCCCTGATTCATACAGAAAAATCGAAGAAAAGTCGAAGCAGATTCTGAGTTGTGTCACAGAAATCTCACAAGTCGTATGGAGTTTCCTCACTCGCGGTTGCCCTTACCTGGAAAAGTTTAGTAGTCCACTTGATTTCAGCTTTACAACGACCCCTCGCAACGAGAGAGAAGAATCGAATAAGGATCAGATGGTAAGTGTTATCTTACTACTCTCTTTTCACTGCTTACTATACGCAGACCTTCTGACTGATTTATGTTATGGTCAGAAGTCACATTTGGTGTCTCGTTATCGAATGTGACAAACCGTTTGCTTGAGTTGAGGAATTGGTATTTTTATGTTATATGTTAGTTTGGTCCAAGGAAACATGTACTCACAGCAAAACTAGCCATAGATAAATGTAAATTGGTTAAATTTACGAAATGGGTTGTGGCTATGGTCTAAAAGTATTTGACTTGGCTGTTGTTTGTTCCAAACATTATTGATCTCGAAGTTTGCTACTCAAAATGACTCATGCAATAAACACATTAAGCAAGTCTCAGAAATTACAATGTCATGTATATTTTCACAAACTAATGTGTGTATTGGTAACATTTAGAAAATATGTTTTCATTGGCAAGACCACAAATATGAATATATCGGCTCTGCTTCGATGATTTTTAAAATTCAGTAAAATATCAGTTTTCAATTTAATAATAGTTCATTTTTTCAGGAAAAAAAAACATTTAACATATTTTTCAAATATTTGACATGAAAAGGTATATTAAAAACCATACATATATTTGTAGTACATAAAGTTTGGTTTGAATTGAAGTTGCTAAGTTAAATGTTCACAATACTGTACATGCCAAATCTATACATATTTGACATAAAATGATAAATTAAAAAACCATACATATTTTAGTAGTACATAAATTTGGTTTGAAGTTGCTATGTTACATGATCACGATATGTGCCAAATCTATTGATGATTAGATTTCAATCTGTGTAAATTTTTTAATCAATTAAATTTTAAATATTATGTAATCTTATGTAATAAAGTAGGGTTCCTCCAAACTCATGCTCTAAGAAATACATATGACATCTCTCCTTAGGCGATTTTAGGGGGTTTAGGCGGTTTAGGCGTTTACAACATAAAAACTTTATATATTTATATTATATTAGGGAAAACATGAATTAATTTCTAGGTGATGAAAAAAACAAAACTTTCCCGTCTTTCCGATTTCCTATCTATCTTCGTTAAGCCAATCAACGACGTTAACAAAAGCATACACGTTGTAATTAAACGAAGATTATACCCATCTCTTATTCCTTAAATCGATTCTTTTGTTTCCTTTCTTCTAAATTCCTAATCAATTTCATGCCCACTAGCGTGTCAATCGTGGGCAATGGCGAATGTCCCAGTGGGTGTTATCTTGTTCCAAGCAGCGTCTGTATATGCAAACATGAACTACATTTTTAAATCTCTTAGCTGGTGATCAGTATGGGTTATGTCCTTGGCTATTATGGTACATTTGGAAGGCCAAAAATGCCAAAAAATTAAAAATATGGATGAAAGCCCCTTGGAAGTAACCAGAACTTAGGCTTGGAGCTCCCTATGGAGTCTTCCGTAGCTAATACTAGGCTGCAAGATCGTTTGGGCCCTTTATCCTCCATGTTTACTGGTTACCAATGTTTCATCGATGACTCTTAAAAGGATACAAATATGTATGTAGGTTTAGGATGGTTTTGCTAGCACGCTTAGGACTCTTTGATGATGATGGGAGCTCCAAATCTCCGTCGAAGTCTTTCTCCTCTCCATACTGAAGTAGAAGCTCTAGTGTGGGCGATGATATGCATGATTAACCATACAAAAATGAATTGAAAATACCAAAATTGATCTAAATATTTATTTTCACATACATATTACTAAATCAAATATTTAATCAGTTTATTATAAATTATTTTAATAACATTTGGATATATCAAGTAGTATTGTAAATGTTACTAAAACAAAATTTTGTTACAAAAAAAATACTTTATATACATAGAATATTTATTTAGTAATTTAAAAGTAAAATACACACTACAAAAAAATGAGTGGATTGAATCATTTATTTTGTAATTTTAAATTACTTATAAGTGATACAATGAAATTTTACATCACTTATAAAAGTGATACTTATATTGCCGATGCAAATAATTCACATCGGTTTTAGAAAATATTTATACATAAAAGGAGTTCTCTGATATTTAGAGATCGTGGGTTAGTTGGTGATATTTTGATTTTTTATTTTATTTTTAATAAAACAATTTATCAAACATAATTGAAGAAAATAATAAATAAAAGATGAGGACTTTAGAGAAAAATTAAAAATCATTTTTTGACATTTAAAATATAGAACACAATCGTAAATTAAAATATTATGAAAACAAAAAAATATTTCAAAAAGTAATATTTTAAATAAAATTATATTATCTTAATTTTTGAATTTTTTTCTAATTACCTCGTTTTTATAAAAATATATGTAATTTATTGATGCCATTAATATAATTTATGGGGGAATTTCAAAAATACCCTTTTTCCAATACCACTTTTTAAAAATACCCCTCTTTCTAGTTTTATCAAAAAGTCACTATAAAATTTGAAATTTATCAACAACATATGTGTAAACTTATATTTATAGACACAAATTATCTTTATATGTGTGTAAATTTTTATATATATATATATATATTTCATAAATACCGTATAAATACCTTTTAAAAACCTTTTAAAAACCATTTAAAAACCTTATAAAAACTGTGTAAACATTTTAAAAATCTTATAAAAACATTATAAATACCGTTTAGAACCTTTTAAAACCTTATAAATATTTGGATTTAGTCTCCCAGTAGTAATGATGACCTCGATGTACCTTATTAACCATATAAAAGTTTATAATTTTTCATATTTGAACAGGGGTATTTTTGAAAATGGATAGAAAAGAGGGGTATTTTTAAAAAGGGGTACACCAAAAGGGGTATTTCTCAAAAATTCTCATAATTTATTTTAGCATCACATTTTTATGTTGTATCATTTAAAAAATCGATTTTATCAAAAAAATACATACATCAATTATCTAGATGATGTAAATATGTATTTTACATCAATTTTTTTAAAGTGATACAATCTACTAGAAATTGAATCAGTTTTAAATAATTGATGAAAATTAGTTAATATTAGCATCAGTAATGTAATTGATGTTAAATTATTTATATTTGCTTCACTTATTAAAAAGTAATTTAAAATAAGATCACTTAAATTTATGATACAATTTAAGTGATACAATATAGTCATTTTTTTGTAGTGACATAACCTAAAAAAAATTACATAACCTACTCATGTAATAAAGTTTTGAATAAAATAATCCAAATTATTAAATATTACTAATTAAGAAAAAAATTTAAAATATTAAAAAATATTTTTAATTGATGAGTTGAGATTCTATATGAAAAGACCCAACCCAAAAAAATTTAATTTTTAATCATGCAACCAATTTAACCAAATTAACTTAAATCAACTAAACTAGACGAAATCAATTTAAAACAATTAAACCAGAGCAAACCAACCATAATCATTTAAACCAGTGGAAAACATCAAATTGTCAAACCAATAAACAAACTGCAATAATCAACAAATCCAGCAATCACTCCAAGTCAGGCAATATTCCTAATATGCTTTAAGATTCGAGGAATTAATATTTCTAGCAATAGCAATTGCATATTATTTAAAAACATCCAACGAGCCCCTAGATCATTCTTCTCTCCTCCTCATGATTCCTCGGTCACACATTTTCTTTACTTGCATCACAGAAAGAGATGCATAAGTATTTTCATAAATACTTAATGAGGCACTCATCCCAACTACTGGACTATACACACAAGCAGTAATAACCATCATCAAGCAAAACAATCGAAATCAAGCATTTTAACACACATAAGACGCCACAGGTGATGACCGGTGTCGATCGATACTCGCTTTCGACACTCACGGTCGACACCGAGCTCGACACTCGATTCGCGAGTCACACCTATCCTCGCGGAACAAAACGTTGGTGTCAAGCAACACCCACCACTGATGTCGATCGACACCGACATTCTACATGCACTCAAGTTGCGTTTTCTCTGGATCTACACTCCTAATCAATCCCAAACCACAAGCAAATCTCCAAGGGGTTTCACACGGATCATACAACACAAAAAAACAAAGCAAGGAAGGAAATCAATCAAAAAATCATCAAAACTCCCAATACAATGATCAAACTGCTTAGATAAGCCTTGGTCATGCACTCACTTCTTAAAAAATAAAGAACATCAACAAATAGGGATGAAAACAAACTCTTCTAAAACCAAACACCATGGATCTATCCTCTTCTAGGATAGAACCACCAAGAACAAGCCTCAAACACTACATAAAGTCAATCAAAGGCACTCAAGGATCCAACTCACACTTTATGCTCTTTTCTCTTCTTTAGAAAACCAACAAAATGAACACAAAATGAAGAAAAGTGGCAGCCTTAAGCTTTAAGACAACCTAGGTTTTTTCCCAAACCTAACCCTCAATTGAACCGACAATTTAAAATTTAAACCGTCAAACCAACATTTGCTGGTGTGGATCGACACACGCCACTGGTGTCGATCGACACCTGTTTTTCCAAACAGGATGTTACACTATAAGAGTTTATAATTTATTAACTGTCTATAAGCATACAAAATTTAAATTACTAATATATGAGAAAATAATTTAAGAAAACTTTACTTTACTTATATGATTTTTGGAAAAGTAGATATAACCTATATATATATATATATATATTAAATTTTGTAATATTTAAAATTAAAATAAAAAAAATTATTTTTATCCAGTATTGACTAAAACCACTAGACAATACATTGATGTCATGTGAAAAAGCTGTCCAGTGCATTTTGATAATTTTAGAGAAATACACCTTTTGGTACACCCCTTTTCAAAACTACTCCATTTATCTATCCATTTTCAAAAATCCCTCTGTTTAAATATGAAAAATATAAAGTTTTATATGAAAGATTTATCACATTTTATACAAATACAAAAGTAATTTGTGTGTATCTTTATAAATTTACACACATCTTTGGATAAATTTTAACATTTTAGTGGTTTTTTGATAAAGTTTGAAAATTGAATAGTTTTTAAAAGTGGTATTTGAAAAAGAGTATTTTTAAAATTCTCCATTTTTCTTGAAAAGCAGAAATTACTATTGTTTATTGTTGATTGGTAAAAAAAAGTGTTTTTTTTTTAACTTTTGCTATTCAATTTCGCTTTTAGTATGTCTCTAATCAAGGCCATAGTATAAATCCTTTTTTTTGTCAAGAAATCTTTATATATATTGTATATCGCTCAGTAAAATAAATTAAGTGTTTTGAATTACAAAATTAATTTTTAATTTAAAATGATTATAGTATATAATTATGTTCAAAGTTTTACATTGTTAGAAGAGATTTTAAATTAAAATCCGCCCATTGCGCGAGTACAAAATCTAGAACTAATAATATTAT